TTTCACTTTGTTTTAGGCCCTGAGATTCATTTAGTTCATTCCGTTTTTGCCCTAGAGATTTATTTAATTCATCCAATTTTTGTCCCTGAGTTTCATTTGTTTCACTTTGTTTTAGGCCCTGAGATTCCTTTAGTTCAGTTTGTTTTTGCTCAAGAAACGTGTTTGTTTTATCCAATTTTTGTCCCTGAAATTAATTTGATTTTTTTTTCTTTTGTCTCTGAGATCTACCTGACTCACCCTGTTCTATGTTCTTATTAATAGTCTCAGTAGTGACTTTTTCTGGGCAGGAACGTATGATGTGGCCCTCCATTCCACACCCGAAACATTTCATTTTTTCTGAGCTTACATAAACGTTGTAGTCATAATCATCCACTCTGAACTTTAACACTAAGTTTAACTCTTCATTATTGTTCTTTAAAATCATAAAGACTTGCCTTCTAAAAGAAACAACATGTCTCAATTGCGGAGATTTACAGCCAAGAGAAATCGATCTAATCGGAGACATTAACTGCCCATGTCTCGCCAGTTCCCTCTCTAGCATTTCATTACTAATGAATGGAGGGACTTGCGACAAAACTATCTTTTTTGCCGGATTGACGAGCGGCACCGCTTGAACAAAGATCTCTCTGATTATTACACCTTGTTCAACAATTGTTGCAACTTTATCAAAACTATCCACAAAAATCACAACTCCATTGTTCATTCTCGATGCGGATTTAATGCTATCAAAACCAACAATCTCCCCGACTACCAAAGCACATTCTTCCACAGAACAGTCTATAGTCGGACAAAGTTTGAACGCATGTCGGCGTGTGAGCGTTTCCAGCCCCACGCCTCCGACTCCACGAACCGGCATGACTCCCGGTTACATCGGTTGTCGCCGCCACCACAAAATAAACCACTTAAACTATACCACTAAGAATAAACCAATATCTTAAAACTAAAAAACATTAAAAAAAAAGAAAGAAAAAAAAAGAGAGAGAAAAAGAGCACTCACACCAAAACCACGCTCCCAGTCTCGCAACCACTCACTCAACTTCCGCTCAGAGAGAGAGAGAGAGAGAGACACACTCACACACTTAAGAGGTCAAACTGAAACCCGCTGATTCTGATTCCCAGAAAAGAAAAACATCACAATCACCGTGTCTTCTCTTACTTTCATTTTCCCTTTCTCATCTTTTCCCCCACTTTTCTCAACTTGTCATTCTCCATCTTTTCTTTATCTCATTTTCCCATCGCATCACATCTTCTTCTTCAATCATCTCACTTGTTCCTTCATCTCCAGCTCATGTTCACACACACTTACTCCTTCACAAAAGCTTCACATCTGGAGGGTTTTTACAGACTCTCATTCACTTGTATCACCTGTTATCTTCACTAATTAACCCCAACGCATTAATTAACCCATTCATTAATCCATTAGTGGCTTTAATTTCTCAGCAGCAGCTGAAAGAGAAATGAAGCGCTGTAAAACACGAGCTCTAAAGTAATGAAGCTGAACCTGTTCAACATCACATCTGTTTATGAATCACATCAACAAGAGCAAACAGGGATCGTTGTGCTTGTTTAGTCTCATATCTACCATCATGTTTGTGTCTCCTGAATGTGTTTGTCTTCACTGATTTACTGTGGAGAACACAGACTGTGATGAACGCTCGAATATAAAACAAGGATGAATGCGCTCGAGAAAGTCTTTCAGATCCAGAATGTTCTGGAAAGGTTCTTCTGACGACTGAACGTCCTGCAGAGCTCTCAGATGTTTTTCTGGGAATGTGATTGGCTGTCACCCTGTATTTTCATAAAATTCATGCTGAAAGGACAAGCATATATTCTAATGAGGTTTATTAATAGTCCATTGAAACACGTCACTGCACTCAAGGTTATCTGGCAACACAGACGCAGAATAGAAGAACAAACGGATTAAAACTGTCTTGTAAAACTCAGAACAAAAACACGGTCTCTCTGAGCTTCTCAAATGAATCTGATGGCAGATTTCGATCCATGTTTCTAGATGCAAGACACAAAACCATCTATAAAACCATCTATTGTTTACTGTTAACTATTAATTAACATTTGAAAATCACTGACTGACTGCCTGAAGTTGTGGATGATCAGTGATTTAATTTCCATAGTTTTATTTGTGAAAAATCACACACACACACACACACACACACACACACACACACACACACACACACACACACACACACACACACACACACACACACACACACACACACACACACACACACACACACACACACACACACACACACACACACACACACACACACACACACACACACACACACACACACACACACACACACACACACACACACACACACACACACACACACACACACACACACACACACACACACACACACACACACACACACACACACACACACACACACACACACACACACACACACACACACACACACACACACACACACACACACACACACACACACACACACACACACACACACACACACACACACACACACACCTGCTCACACACTCCTGGGAGATGTACCTGATCAGGTAGGTGGCGCTGCAGGTAGGCCCGGAGCAGTGCATCCTGGGTAAAGGGGTTTGTGAGCAGAGGTCGCTCCTGGAAGAAGGTCCCGATGGCGGAGCGGGAGAATGGCGCAGGTGTGTGTGTGTGTGAGTCCGGCTCGCTGATGGAGACACTGCTGTGAGACACACTCCTACTGAGCATGAGCAGAGCCAAGCGCTGACCCCGGCAAAACACCTGGACTGCCATTACTGTCGACACACACACACACACACACACACACACACACACAGACACACACAGGTTTGTTTTTGTGAAAAGTGGGGACATCCCATAGGCATAATGGTTTTTATACTGTACAGACCGTATATTCTATTGCCCTACACCAACCCTACCCCTAAACCTACCCCTCACAGGAAACTTTGTGCTATTTCAGATTTTCAATACACTCCATTCTGTGTGATTTATAAGCGTTTTGAAAAGTGGGGACATGGGGTAATGTCCTGAAAAGTCACCTTCTCCTTGTAATACCTGTCATACCTTTGTCATTATACAAATTTATGTCCTCATTTGTCACAAAAACGCGCGCATACACTCACACAGAGCTGTCTGTTACCCAAGGTTACCCAGCTCTTCCTGCAGGTCAAAGGTCATCTCATCATCTACATAAGGCTTTGTTATTATTCCGCTGAAGAAAAAAGCTCTGCATGAATCAGTGAAACTGCTGACTGACGCAGAACTTGACTCTGATCTGTGAACTCTCACCTACTAACATTCAGCGCTCATTCCTCTCTCTGAACCTTTATACGAACATACTTCAAGAAAAAATACCATAAAACACAGCAAACGTACACAAACAAAGCACACGAAACTTTAAATAAGCGCAAACAACTCTCAAACAGAAACTAAACGTGCACTGAATCTCAGAGATGTGCGCTATATCTCAGCTTATTCGAGCTGTATTTGCGCAGAGTTTAGCTGTGTCTGGCTATATTTGTAGCATACTTGAGCAGCTCACCGATCTTGCGTGTTCCGCGTCTCAAGACAGCACAAACAAACCGAGACGACCGACTCGGATCAGATTCATTCAGGGAGTCGATTCTTTCGAAGTGAACGCAGCCGCGAGTCCGGCGCATGCGCTGTTCATCTACTGTGAGTGACGCCTCTGCGATCAATCCGTTTTAGGTCTTCATCTGAAGTGTGTGTGAATGCTGTAATGTGAAGTGTAGCAAAGACTATTTAAGAGCTTGTTTTCAGGGTGACTCCCTGAGGAGGATGAAGGGTAAACATTCACACGAATATAACGTGGTTAGTTTTAATGACTGATTAAAGTACACAGCTTTGAACATAAATGAACATAAAGGGTAGATTAAATAAGAAGTCCGTACCAGTTTAATCTAGTCATAGTTTTTATGAAGACAGATTATCGCCCAGGACTAAGAGAAAGATTGGTTTTTATTCTTCACCGGTGCAGTGGATGAAGGTTCTTCAGTGAATCCAACAACAGATCCTCCATCAAACATCACAGAGCCACTATTCAGCTCATTAATGATGCATGCTGTTTACAGAGTACATCAGATGCTAAAGATCTTGCAACAGTGGCCTAATTTAAATGGCACAGAACATTGTTATATTTCTAAAAGAAAAAAGCATGAAACGGTCTAAATGTACCTGCCATAAAGCATGAAAAGAAAGGATAAATGAAGAAGACACGTCATGAAACGTCACAATGCATTTAATGCAGCTTCATGCAGCGTCAAGCGAGCACATGCTAGATACGAAACCCAAAGCAGAGCAGAATACATGATCCTCCCAGCACATAAAACTCTTACATATCGTTTCACCATAAAAATAGCATTAAGATTTATGCATATACTTGATACAAAACGTAAAAATGGAGGTTGATGTTGAAATAAAAATGGAGGTAATAAATGCGCTCCGAAGTCTCTTCTGGTCCTGAGGTCACTGTGGTTTCTGATGAGTCCATGAAGACATGTACAAAACAGATCAAACACGTAAAACATTGAAAAGACATTAAAGTCCCTGGCGTCACATGCGCAGGACTGTGTGTTTGCGTTTAGTGTAAGTTATTCCATGAGGTTTGTGTGTTTATGAGGTTTTCTGGGCCGAAGAGGTGTCGCGACACTCCATAGACACCACTGCTGAGAGCGAGAGTGTGTGTGTGAGAGAGTGTGTGTGTGTGTGTGTGTGTGTTTGAGAGAGAGTGTGTGAGAGAGTGAGAGTGTGAGTGTGTGTGAGAGTGTGTGAGAGAGTGAGAGTGTGAGTGTGTGTGAGAGTGTGTGAGAGAGTGAGAGTGTGAGTGTGTGTGAGAGTGTGTGAGAGAGTGAGAGTGTGAGTGTGTGTGAGAGTGTGTGAGAGAGTGAGAGTGTGAGTGTGTGTGAGAGTGTGTGAGAGAGTGAGAGTGTGAGTGTGTGTGAGAGTGTGTGAGAGAGTGAGAGTGTGAGTGTGTGTGAGAGTGTGTGAGAGAGTGAGAGTGTGTGAGAGTGTGAGTGTGTGTGAGTGTGAGAGTGAGAGTGTGAGAGGGAGAGTGAGAGTGTGAGAGAGCGGGGAGTGTGTGAGTGAGAGAGTGTGTGAGAGAGTGAGTTTGTGAGTGAGTGTGTGAGAGTGAGGGAGTGTGAGAGTGTGAGAGAGTGTGTGAGGGTGAGTGAGTGAGTGAGTTTGTGAGAGAGTGAGGGAGTGTGAGAGTGTGAGAGAGTGAGGGAGTGAGGGAGTGTGAGTGTGAGAGTGTGTGAGAGTGTGAGGGAGTGTGAGAGAGTGAGGGAGAGTGTGAGTGAGTGTGAGAGTGTGAGTGTGAGTGTGTGAGAGAGTGAGAGAATGTGAGAGTGTGAGAGAGTGAGGGAGTGTGTGAGTGAGAGAGTGTGTGAGAGAGTGAGAGTGTGAGTGTGTGTGAGAGTGTGTGAGAGAGTGAGAGTGTGTGAGAGTGTGAGTGTGTGTGAGTGTGTGTGTGTGAGAGAGTGTGTGTGTGAGAGTGTGTGTGTGTGT